TGACAAAAAACAATACAACCACCTTATTCAATATCTAGCATACAGATTTCAGACTAAAAAGTATTTGAAACTAGNGAGACCCCAGGGTCAAGAAATTCACAATTTCGGTAAAGCACCTTAAGACCCTTCCATCTATGAAGAGTATTTGATTCTACCATATCTGGGTCTTGAGAAGAAGATTTTTGAAATTTCAGTCAATTCAACCCTTTTTGGCCCCACCCATCAGCCCCTGGGGGTCAGTCAGGGCTCATAGGTGCATACTATCAAACTGCTACCTAATACTGATAATGCTAACCCAAATTGAATTACTTCCAATGGAAATTAAACAAATGTTGGTCCAAAATGTGATTTCCCTATATAAACTATAGTAAAGTTTACCCCCTCCCCAGGGGGAAACGTGAGACCCCAGGGTCATGAAATTCACAATTTCTGTAAAGCACCTTAAGACCCTTCCATTTGTGAAGAGCATTTGATTCTACCATATCTTGGTCTTGAGAAGAAGAGTTTTGAAATTTCAGGAAATTCGACCCTCTTTGGTCCCACCCATCAGCCCCTGGGGGTCAGTCAGGGCTCATATGTGCTTATTATCAAACTGCTACCTAATACTGATAATGCTAACCCAAATTGAATTACTTCCAATGGAAATTAAACAAATGTTGGTCCAAAATGTGATTTCCCTATATAAACTATAGTAAAGTTTACAAGGGGAAACGTGAGACCCCAGGGTCAAGAAATTCACAATTTTAATAAAGCACATTAAGACCCTCCCACATATGAAAAGTATTTGATTCTACCATATCTGGGTCTTGAGAAGATGATTTTTGTAATTTTAGTCAATTTGACCCTTTTTGGCCCTGCCCCTCAGGCCCCTGGGGGCTTGGGACTAAACCGGCCACTATTTTTGTTGACCTTTGTCCATGGAAGGTCCCTGCAAAATTTCATTGAAATTGGTTTAGGGGTTTTGGAGAAGAAGTCGAAAATGTAAATTGTTTACGGACGGACGACGGACAACGACGGACAAAAGGCGATCGCAATAGGTCACCTGAGACTTTGTCTCAGGTGACCTAAAAAAAATGTAAAACTTGAAAGTGATCTGTCAAAATCAAATGGACTATATTTTAGAATGTACATGTAACAGGAGATGGAAAATTGCATGGCCAGACCGGGGTTTGAACCCAGGACCGTCTGAACTATAGACAGACATTCTACCAATTGACGATCGACCCAGTCCAGTCCGCTACATGCCTCCCTCTTTTTTCTAAGTCTTCGTCAGTGAAGACATCATTATTTACAATCCAGCTTCGGGTTTCCCCTTGCCAAGTGTTCACCCAATGCTTGAAACAAGGGTTGCTCACAGGCACCACTGTGACAGGTCCGGAAAACGGATGGCCAGACCGGGGTTCTTACCCCGGTCCTTCCGAACTCTAGACCACTCTGTACCAATTGAGCTACCTCGTCGCCGACAATTCACCCAGTCAGGTTCCATTACATGCATATACAACAAAACGAAAGATCTCTTTGCAAAGATCATATTGTCCCAAGAAATATCTGGTCATTTAAAACAAAAATTACATTAGGAACCCTAATGAACAAACCCTCATATATAAAAAAATATAGGCATTTTTAGGATAAAATCTGTCTAAAAGGCATTTTTACATAAGGACTATCTGACAGTGAAAGACCTTACCCTATGTCCAATTAGTGTCTTTTTTTATGGGAAAAGTTATCATGTACATTTTCCTTACTTTCATGAATACACTGCTACCAGCAATACAATTTTATATTTCTTAAATTGTGTCCTTGTAAATGGTTATCTCAGTTCTAGAGAAAAATCGCTCATATTGATCAGGAATAGGTCAATGGTACTTAGGAGACACCTGTGTAATAAACTGACCGTGGAGTAGTTTTTAAAGTTACCTGTACATGGAGGGGGGCACCTCCTCTGGAATGCAGAACACAGCCACGACATATCTCCGTAACTAGGACTTATTCCCCACCTTACTAGTGAATGGGCCACCTCCAGTCTTACAAACACATGCAGCCTCTGTAGCTATTGTCAGTGTTTCCAAATTTAATCAAATTTTTGTTTTAAATGCAGAATATTTTGTAAAATTTCATTCTGTTATGCCCTTTCCAAATCCAATGTTAAGACCATCACCAGGAGAACCACTGATTCCAACAGGCACTAGTTGCTGCACCCTCTTCACAATAAGTTTCTGCAAATATTGTCTTTTTTTCCAAATCGAATAAAACCATATTCAATGCAGCATGTTTTGCACGATTTAATCATTCTGTACAGGTCTTCCATCAATTCTTAATGATCCATCATACGCACAACCTGTGTCCTTTTTTCAAACAGATACCAAATTAGAAAATCTTCTCTTTTTGACAGTAAAAATCTCAAACACAAAACTTATATTCAAATAAAAATATTGGAAATTTTTAACAGTAGAATCAATTCTTTGAGAGAAAAAAAACCCAATAAAAATCCAGAAGGTTTAAACATCTTGTATGTTCTCTGAACCAAGCTCCGATAAGTTTTCCTTAAAAGCAGTCTTACATCATGCGTTTCACTATCTCAACCCTAAATCACATGTATGGTGCGTGTCAGTGCAGCTTTTCCCCTTCAGTTGCGATTCCAGACAGCAGTGACAGTTCACATCCCCCTCATTACGACATTACCAGGCAATTCTCACGATAGTCAATGGAGAGGAGAGGGATGCTCCATGGTACAATGTGAGGAACTGCGGGCTAATCTGAACTCGAGTCAGTTATGAAAAAATCCATATATGCTGGGGAACTTTATAGTGTTTTTATAGCCAGTGATCAGAAATCTGAATTCCAGCACCTCATCTAATTACAATGATAGATATGTTCTGTTGTGTGGCCCTGCACTCCACCGAGACAATAGAGCCACGATCGTAGCTATCACTTTATCCCGCCTCGTATGGTGACCTGCATTAATTCGGAAGAGGCATAAGTGGACGGAGCTCACTATACAGTTAAGATGCTGACATGAAACTCAAATTTGGTCTTGTCAGTCTGGGTCAGCGGAGGAAAGACGTCCTCCCCAACGGATTGTTCAATTATGTGAAAGTTTCTCATGTGTTGTACGACTATTTACACAGTCTGAGCTCTGTGCTTTGGTGTCCTTACAAAGGCCAGACAACTGTTGGAACAGAGCAGCCCTGAGATTAAAAAAAACTGTCACCAGCGTACAGTTCCTAATAGAAAGCACACAGACCAGTATTTCCTGTGATGACAAAAATCAGCGAGGCACACTCAACACGTAATTGTCACATACGCACTGTAACGTCATCTTACCGCAGACTAGAGAAAAAAGTTAAAATGTCTAAAATATTGTCAGCTTTACCATCATAACAGCGCTAGACGTAGTCAATTCCAATTCACACATTTAATTTAATATGTAAAAATGCGATGTTCAAAAGAAATACAAAGAGAGCACAAAATAACAATGATTGTCAAAAATGAAATCATCCAAAAACTGCCGATTCATTTTTTTTCTTACAAACAGAGAAAAGAGGCATACCCTGCTTTCTGACAGTACTGTACCAACTCCTACAGACAGTGCTGACAACTCCTACAGACAGTGCTGACAACTCCTGACAATGCCATGCAGTTCTGATTCCCATTCAGTCCAAAACACTAATTGAAGGAGTCTGCTCATTTCTAAATTTCTGGTATTGTCCAACTAAACCATGATGTAGGTTCAGATTTGTTCCTTAAAGTGTCATTACTGCGTATAATTTGATTTTTCAGAATCTACTTTTTTCATTTTACAGTCGAGTACTTCATACAGTTGTAATGAGATTCACTGAGGGACTGACAACAACAGACAGGCAGCATGGTAATTGTCTCTCAAAACAACAGACAGGCAGCATGGTAATTGTCTCTCAAAACAACAGACAGGCAGCATGGTAATTGTCTCTCAAAACAACAGACAGGCAGCATGGTAATTGTCTCTCAAAACAACAGACAGGCAGCATGGTAATTGTCTCTCAAAACAACAGACAGGCAGCATGGTAATTGTCTCTCAAAACAACAGACAGGCAGCATGGTAATTGTCTCTCAAAACAACAGACAGGCAGCATGGTAATTGTCTCTCAAAACAACAGACAGGCAGCATGGTAATTGTCTCTCAAAACAACAGACAGGCAGCATGGTAATTGTCTCTCAAAACAACAGACAGGCAGCATGGTAATTGTCTCTCAAAACAACAGACAGGCAGCATGGTAATTGTCTCTCAAAACAACAGACAGGCAGCATGGTAATTGTCTCTCAAAACAACAGACAGGCAGCATGGTAATTGTCTCTCAAAACAACAGACAGGCAGCATGGTAATTGTCTCTCAAAACAACAGACAGGCAGCATGGTAATTGTCTCTCAAAACAACAGACAGGCAGCATGGTAATTGTCTCTCAAAACAACAGACAGGCAGCATGGTAATTGTCTCTCAAAACAACAGACAGGCAGCATGGTAATTGTCTCTCAAAACAACAGACAGGCAGCATGGTAATTGTCTCTCAAAACAAAACAAAAATATATTTATTGTCTGTGCTAATGACCTTGAACTTTGGCATCGAGAAATGTCATATCAACTGAAGAATATTTCAGGAAAACTGAACTGAGAAGCAATATCCCATAATCCCATAAATCCCTTATTTACATCAATGCCACAAAGCTATCAATGATATCTGATAATCCAATGAGTACAGAAATTCTGCATTCCCATTAATGTCACAATTCCATCCAAAAATAACAGAAATCCTTATTTGTTTATTCCCATTTTCCCTTTGACTCCCCATTTCTACCAAAATCATATTCCCATTTTTCACTTATTTCCATCACAATCTCATCCATTCTTCAACTACAACTATTATCTGCATTGCCTCTGCTCTTTCCGAATTGTACAAGGCTGTTTTGGACATCCTTTATTTAGACAAGCTTTAATCAAATGAAACTGGTATATGAATACATACCTAGTAATGCTTCCATGTCGATGGAGCCGGACTGTATAAGAAATGTTCGTGCCCTTGCCCCCTGGTCTGATTCTTCTGAGCTCTTGTGGCGTGGGATACAGATGGGAGATGTTTTTGGCGTGGACCTTCCCAGAGGTCCTTCCTGTTCTGCATACCGTTCCTCACAAACCTCTGACTCTAGTAGTTCTTCATTGCTGTGTTCAAGTTCCCCTTTTTTCCCGATCAGTTTACGTTTTATACTATCCTTACGCGTGTGAACTATACTTTTGACGCGTTTTCCCCACGTTGGTTTTTTCTTCCCCAGTTTTGGAGAGTCAGTGTGGGTGACCTTGAGTTCGGACAAATCACCATGTGATGACCTCCCTTTGTAGCTAGATGAACGTCTTAGGTTGAGATATTCATCAGTCAGGTCAGGTGTTTCGTCCAGTAGGGATGGGCTAGACTTTCGGCGAGGAATCGCTACATTTAAATACTGCTCACCTGCTGTATTTAAAACAACTACCTCCTTGGTGACATCTGATTCTATCTCACTTTCATGTTTCTCTAGCCATTCTGGGTCCCCCATCCAAATTTCTGTCCCAAACTCTTCATCCTCATCTTCCTCTTCTCCTTCACCTTCAACCCCAAGGTCACGACCCTGTGTTGGACTAGATGGCTCTCCTGATGATGTTGACCTCCGAACCTCATGACTCTCGACCTCAAGCCCACTTCCCACCCCACTGTCCACAGACCGATTTTCCATTGTGCTGATTGGGACAGTCAATTCTTTGCTACCCTTACCTAAGTCTTTAATTGATTTTAAACTAAATCCAATATCCTCTGGAAATCTAGGCTTGCTTATAACTCTTTTAAACTTCACCCAATTTGACACCTTAGATTTGCGTTTTGAAGAGGAAGATTTTAAACCTTTAGATTTTTCTGTCTTTTCATAGGACTTTGAGTGGAGTTTATCTGAATTGTCCTCTTCTCCTGATTGTTCCAGGATTTCGGATGGAATGTCAAGAGAGCCGGTTGAGCGACTTCGCTTGTGGGTAACATGCTTGGAACGTTTTGGGCTGTACGAGTCCGAAGCAGTCTGCTCCAGTTCAAAGAAGCACATGTCCTCAGCACTAGGAAGCCTAGGCCGACTGACCTTGTGCTTACTGTAGGACGCCTGCTTGGACCTCGTGTAGCTGTACTCCGACTGTGTCATTATTTCCTGCTCCAGGGCTGTCTTCACCTCCAATATGCTCTTTGTACTTTCAAGATAGGCGCACTTCCTTTTCAGTTTGGAGTTCTCACCTTTAAGGTTGGACAGTTGCTCCATCAACCGTACCAGGTTATCAAGGTGATCCAAGCCTACACTCTGGCGGACCGGACTAGGGCTGGGTGTTCGTGGCTTGACAGGTACTTTTTTGACCCCTTCACCCTTACTGGACTTATCCTGCTCCTCGAAGAACTCCAAAACCTGCGACACGTCTGGAGAGGGAGACAGCCCTTGTGGCATCAATAATTGGCCACCACTGGTTCCCATGGCGATGGACTGACCAGATATATCCTCATCCAGGGTGATGTCTGCACTCATTGGTGACTCACCACTGGATGTAGTTGCTGCGGCGATAGATGCTGGTGGCATCTCGGCCTCAGTGAGGTAGGTCATCTTGATTTGACGTTGCTCCAGCTGGACAGCCGGTACAATCTGGCGCTCCGATGTCGGGAGGGCGACAAAGCACGTCTCGGGTTCAATCTCATTAGGGGGCTTCCTTGTGGCCATTTATCTAGCAACCTGCCACAACTGGAGATCTGCAGACACAAAAAGAAGTCAAACATTAGAAACATTTCAATTGATAGAAGAAATTTTCGTTTCAGGTACTACTACAGCCTATGTGAAATTTGTCAAAGGGATTTCATGGAAATGAAGTTGTGATGAACAGCTTGGAAAAGGAAGCAAGCTTACAATGTACATGATTTAATAATTGAAACGAGAGTTATGGCAAGGTAGAATTCTAACGAAATGAAGCTGTGATATAAATACAAGGTCGCAATAGGGTAATTGTGTTCATTGGCGTCCATTTTGATTTTCAGATTTTGGTCAAAATGCAACTTGAATGGGTAATTGATATTATATAACATAAGAAAGTTCCAGTCAAATCAAAATCAATTCATACTTGCCAACCCTCCTTATTTAGGATGGAGACTCCCGATTCTGGACCCTTAAATTTAGTATTTTCAACCAGTGAATTTGCTAAACTATTCCTATATTCTAAGATACAATGATTTCATTTGAAAGAACAATTCAAAATATGTCATTTTGTCTCTAGGTGGTATATATATACACTTTTAACGAAGAAATCATTACATGTTGGTTATGCTAAGGATTATACATAGTCAGTCAAGACAAAAGGGAAATAACTCTTGTAAAATCCTAATGTTAAATGCAACAATACAAGATGTTGAAATACAAATAACTTAAGGACTTCCCACCCTTCGTAATACACATGTTTTTCTTGTCTTATTTTCGTGTCGTCATTCCCGTATTGCGTATCGGGCATTCCATTACCATAGTGTAAATTATAGTAACACCGGGTAAACAATAGTACACGTGCGTGACGATGATATGTCAACACCCGATATCGAGACTTAACTTCGAAATGTGTAATCACACGTACTTCTAAAATAAAGCTTATGATAGAAAGACATTAACTAACTCACGGGAAGACACTGACATAAGATCAGACGACTTCAAGAAGGTCGTATATGAGGCACATGAAATTAAGATCTCGACTGATGTGTTTTGTTTACCGACCTCACCTGTCACGTGCTAACAGTAGTTCACAAGCTCTTGGTCGCTACGACTTTTGTTGTCGAGCGAGTTACGCTCTGTCAGATAAATCGCTTTACAAATCCAATTACAATGACTTTGTGAAAATAGTGGTTTGTAAAATATCAAGATCCCTATAAAACGCAAGTGCATGTGCGTGCACATGATAACGGCATACCATGCAATAGCCTATGGTTACAAATGAACCTGACATGTAAATATACCATGCGTAAGCAGGCTATGGAATGATGTCCAAAGTGTACATGATTTAGAGTAATTTTGTTCCATAAAAGAACAGTAACTTGACAATTAAATATAGTAATTTAATCCATTTCCGTCATTTTTGGTATAGTAAAGAAAATAAGTGTCATTGTATAAATTCTATCCCTCTGCAAAAAGTTCCGATTTTTTTCAAGGTAGACAACTCTCATCAGGATCAAAATTGTTGTAAAATGTAAAATAAATGAATTATAAAGACTTTGTGTGCGTTTGGTTCAATTTTTCACTCTTTATGTATGAAACTATGTGTCCTGTTTGCTTTTAGCTTGTATTTAGAAACTTTTATCCATACAATTTCAATAAAAAACGCTTTTTGTAACATGTTGTAGATATGTTATGATAAATAAAATATTTGTAGGGTTGATAGCAATGTTTCTTTTTATTCTTTTATTGTTGTAATAGTTTTGAACAATGCCACCCATTCAAAAAATGTGAAATTGTTGAATTTGACAAAAATTCAATTTTTCGGTATTTTTAACAAAAAAATCCCCAGTTTATCGGAATGTTTAGATTTTCATAAAATTATCTCTACATAGTGACATAACCATTATGTGAAACTTTCACTGAATTCTGCTGGCAAATTGCGAAAGGGTGGAGTCACCTTAAATCTTGATTACCAGCCTCAGTGTAGAAGAAAGATTTAATTGTTCTGCTTTCTCTTATTAAATAGTTTACAATTCTCCTTCTTTAATGAACGAAAAATTAATGTTCTGAACAATTTGTCCAAGTATTCACGGAAAAGGTAGCATTAGCAATGAATAAAATTCATTCAATTTCATTTCACTGATGAGAAATGATAAACATATTAAGAAAAGTGCGGAGAAACAATAAGGAAAGGGTAGAACTTGAAATGAAATCCAACACTGATGGTTTTAATTTCAACTTTCCAACACACTGTTTCTAAATATATCATTTAATCCCTATCATTATTCTACTCTTGTTTTCACTCTTTGTTCAGAATTGACACGAAATATATTATTCATTTGTAAAATATATGCCAAAATAGGCACAAAATTTTAAAAAGCGTTCTGAAGTTTTTCCAATATACAAATGTTGGAGAGAATTGCAGAAGTTTGAAAAAAATCTCCTTGACTTAAATGTTTTTTCGCTTTAAGGAATTTTCCTGAGTCGAAAATGTTTGTGAAACTGGAGCCAGATGAGATATCAGAAAACTGATTTAATGTACTAGTTATGGTTTCATACCAGTAAGAGGAGCACATTGCTAATTGACTGAAGTTAGAAGGAACCTGAGTTTCATACTTTAGACACCCCTGACTAAGTAATAATAATAAAATTATAATATCTCAATCTAGCCTATTCTATAATATCTCAATCTAGCCTATTCTATAATATCTCAATCTAGCCTATTCTA